ATTTTGACATAATTTGTGAAAAATTAAAAATTATATTAAATAATCAACACAAAAATATGGATTTATCGCTTTTTAAGGGATACAAAAATAACATTTTAAGAAAAAGTATTTTCTGAAACTACCGTTTTTTCTCAAATTGAATTTGTGAAACTACCGTTTTTTTTAAAGTTGAATTTGTGAAAGTACCGCTAAACGGTAGTAAATTCGGCCTGGACAGACCCCTGATTATGTATATTTAGAATAGCAATATGTATTATGCAATATGTCTCGCAATATTTTCAGGGGTCTGTCTAGGTTTTTCTGAGAGGTACCTATTTTGTGAAAATTTAGACATATTTTGTGAAAATTTAGACATAATTTGTGAAAAATTAAAAATTATATTTAAAAATCCAACACAAAAATATGGCAAGAATATGGATTTATCATTTCTTAAGGAATACAAAAATAAAATTTTAAGAAAAAGTATTTTGTGAAACTACCGTTTTTCGTAAAGTTGAATTTGTGAAGGTACCGCTGAACGGTAGTAAATTCGGTCTGGACAGACCCCTGATTTTAGAGAATTTAAAGAATATTTCAAGGGTCTGTCTAGATTTTTCTCAGAGGTAGGGTGACCTGGGGTAATTCCTGATCAAAAAACGCAAACATCTATTTTGTGAAAAAACTATTCAAACTTGAATTTTAATATTTACTGGAAGTTTGAGGCTATATGAGATGAGTCCTTTGCTAACTTCTTTTGTTTAGAAATCTAATTAGAATTTAAAAGATTTTAAATTTTTAGTAATCAGGAATCGCCCCTGGTCTTGATCATTTCTGGGGTAAATCCTGATCACCAGTTTTTATTGTAAAGGGGCTGTTTGAAAATAATTATATAATGGTAATTAACAAATAAGACATCAAGATAAAAAAATAAACCAAAAAAATATGTTTAAGCAGCTAATAAAACATTTTATTTAACGCTTTAAATTTTAAAAAATCTTTGCATCGTGCCATACATTTTAGGCAATCAGCCAACTCATTCTCATATTCTTCTGAAATATAAGAGAGTTCCCACATGGGTTACTTTTGCTGGACTTTTTAACTTCATTAAGGGAAAGTGTAAAGTTAAGTAAGGTATGCCAACAGCTCTGGCAGAAACTCTCACTCTGAAATTTTAATTTTCAATCATTAAAAGAAATTCACTAATTTTGTTTTCTAGAAGCTTACTATCCTTTTTAGGCTTATAATTTCTCACCATATTTATACTAGGCTAATTTATAAACTTAAAAATTATTCTAACAATTATACTAGGCTGATTTATAAACTTAAAAATTATTCTAACGGTGTACACACATAAAATTAAGATAGAAGCAAGGTAAGACAAACCAGAAATGGTGCAAATCAGAATACCGTCTTGTATACAGTTAAAAACAAATTTCGTTCAAAACAAAAATTCCACTTAATAAATATAAACTGTTATTTACGAAAAGACAATTAGCTATTTATAAGCTATTTTATATACTATTTATAAGAAGAAATGAGGAATTACCCCATCTGTAGGGGGCAACATTTGATATAGTTTCCTATAATCAATTACAATGTTTACAGTTGATGTGAAACAATTAAACAAAAGCTTACACTACTTTTATATCAAAGAAAAAGAAAGTAACTCAAAATATTTATTATTAAGAGAAGGAGGGGGATCTTTGCAGAAATATGCACATTTTGAAACCCATCTTTGAGATGGAAAATACAGAAAGCAGTTTAAAAGATACTTATTTTGTTAGATTAAACAAAAAATTATTATTAAGTAAATGTAGTTATACTTTAGTAAAGTGTACAAGCATTCTTGTCCATGTCTCAAATTTAAAAAAAAATAATTTTTTTAAAATAAAACTTAGGTGATCATTATTTACCCCAGAAACAGAGTGATCATGAATTACCCCGGGTCACCCTACCTATTTTGCGAAAATTTAGACATAATTTGCGAAAATAAAAATTAAAATAAAAAATCAACATAAAAATAATGTAAAAATATGGATTTATCATTTCTTACGAGATCCTATATCAAAATAGATAAGTTAAGCTAAAAAATATTTTTTAAAAATCTATGCACTCATTGGAATTTTTTTTCACAAAATTTCTTTATAGAAAATCCGATAATGTCAAAGATACTGAAAACATATTATGAGAAAAAAATACCACTTAATAACCCTACTGCTACAAATAGACTCTGAATGGGAAGAATGACACTATATCAGGAAAAAAATATTTGAACTCATCAGCCATTGTTTTTTTCTATCTAAATTTGGCACATTAGGGTAATTTATTTTTCATATAAGCTCAAGCTTCAGAAATATATATTTTCCACCAATGAAATATAATGTAGATTTTAATTCCATGCTTTTTCAATCAAAAGGTAGAATTTTAATAAACATTATTTGCATTTTTTTTTATTGAAAAAAATTCTACAGCTATGCAAGTCTATATTAAGACAGCATTAAATGTTTACTTTAATCTGTACTTTCTCAAAAATCAAAAGATTATTAAAAATGTAATTTCGAATGTGTTGGAATTTAACACACACCAAGAAAAAAAGTAATTTCGCTAACCAAAATTAATTAATGCAGCAATTTATTTAAAATAAATTTTAAAACTAAGAAAAGAAAAAAAGTATCAATAATTTAAAACACTGTTAACCTTTAAAATCAATATATACATATAAAAAAATTCAGTTGATATAAATCAACAAACCATGTTTACTTCACCGGATTTTTTCTTCTATCTTTGAGCAGTATATTTTTAAGCAAATCAACTGTTTAATGTGGACCATCCATGATTGTTGGCAAGTTCATATCACGTCTGCAGATCAACATTGAGGGGATTCAATATTATCGACTATGTCAACCTTCATCTATCAAAATGTACCTCATGATTGAATCAAGTTAACATGTTTTAAATACTAGTGATTTGGTATTTAATATTTAGAGTGGTAGTTACGCCACACTCTAAAACAGAAAAAGAAATCGCGGAAAAAAACTTGATAAAGAAAATTTAAACCCTTGCAAAATTTTTTAGCACAGTTCTTAAAATCATCATATATTGTACTTCAATATTTAGAACAAGATTATTTTAACAATGTTCTGAATTCTTGTTTCAATACTACCGTAATGTGCATGTTTAAAAATGTTCACACACAAAATAGTAAATGCTCACCAGGGGTCTGTTTAGAAGAAATTTGGGTCCGTTTTACAAAATATCTTTACATAAAAACGGACCCTTCACAAAATATTTTAACTTAAAAAGGACCCTTCACAAATTTGTTTATCTTCATTACTGTTTTGTTAATCGAATAAACCCTTCCCAGGAAGGGGGGGGGAGAAACACAGATGCAAACAAACTAAGTTTTGTCTTCGGCAGACGCTTCTTCCTTTATTCGCCCGAAATGAATATTCTGAGTTCAGCAGTATAGGCTAAATACCAAATATTTGTATGTTGCCAGGGGTCTGTCCAGGCCGAAATTACTACCGTTTAGCGGTAGTTTCACAAAATACTTTTTCTTAAAATTTTATTTTTGTATACCTTAAGCAACGATAAATCCATATTTTAACCATATTTTTTTGTGTTGATTTTTTAATATAATTTTTTTTTCTTCACAAATTATGTCTAAATTTTCACAAAATAGGCACCTCTCATAAAAACCTAGACAGATCCCTGGTTGCATCACTAATTTAGTAGCAGCAATTGCTGTTTATTTCTTAAAATTTAATTTTTACAATTAAAATTTTATAGTGTTGAGCATAATCTTGTATCTCTTTACAATTAAAAAACCCCTTGAAAAAGTTTTTTGCAATAACAGGACCCTATTTGCACAAATTCACAAAAGCAGGACCCTGGTTGAAAGAATGTGACTTACCTAACTTTTATTACAGTGTTTTCACTACAGCGCGAGAACGCGAGAATCTCGCATATTTTTTTTATTTCTCGCATTNTTTTTCACAATTTTACAAAAACGGACCTTTCACAAAATGTCTGGACAGACCCCTGTTCACACACATAAATAGTAGGAACAATAATAAATTTTTTTGAGGATAAGAATTAAAAATTTTCTTTTCTTCTATGGGGTAAAAAATATAATAGGGGGTTAAAAACCAGGAAAAAAACTGGTTTTTCCCATAAGGGTAAGCACCATGGTGAATACTGGTAAAAACATTGCACATTGTAAATACTATGCCAATCCTGCACAGAAGGGGACTAACTCGAAGGGTCTAACTGGTAGCCACTCCATGGCAAGCCTCTATATGGTTTTATAAAAACTTTGAAAGCTTAAAATTCATTTGGCACTATAGTGATTGTAGTTTGAGAGACAGATTTCGTGAAGTAAATATTCTTCTAATCCTGAAACAATGATACACAAAGATTTGTAAGTTTGCTTACAAGGAAAATGCTTTTCATATAAAATGAAAATTTAGTGAGTCTTATAAAATGAAACCGGGTTTTCTAAAACAAAATATTAAAAAAAAACTTAACCAATTTTTTTTTTTAAATTTAAAAAATGAGAAAACGTGATGAATAGTTTTTTTCTTGCTAAAGTTGAACACACGCATGCTGCACAGAAATATAATAAGAAACGCGAAAAATGAAAAATTAAATACTTTTTAATAAATAAAATGCATTTTTAAATTTAACTAAATCGTAGGTTAACGGTTGCAATGAGGTATTTTCTAAACACAACATTTTTATTACCAATATATGACAGTACAAAAGCCGAAACTAAAATTGTTGTTAACACTTAAAAAAAAAACTAAAAACAAATTTACATACCAATTAGAAAAATAAACTTTTATACACAATAAATAATTAACGAAACACATGAAAATAGCACTCACAGTACAAAAAATACAACATGCCGAATAACTAGGCTTAAAATACCTATTCCAATTTCAACAAATTCATTATTATGGAGTATTAGGTTTATAAATGGCTTCAAGAAATCAAAGAATGGTTTAAGAAGTAAAACTTACAGAAGACATTAATTGCTTCCGGATTTATGGTGCAGAAGTTTTTACTTTTTAGTTTTCGTGTAGATCGTTGACAGTCATTGAAGACGATTTTAAAATCTTTTCAACAATATCTGATAATTTCTTAAAACAAGCCAAAGCCGCCATTCTAAAATAAAACTGTCAAAATTTGACAGCGTTGCTACCAAATAACCGTCACAGGCAGCCAGAATGCATTAAGCTAAACAGCTGTGGTAAAAAAAATAAAGACTAGGCAGACATATAATAAAAAACCACTGTCTGGACGTTATGATATCGTGTATAAATTTTTCACTTAATTTGTGAATCATGTTGCAGTTTACAAAAAAGAAAGTGAAATAAGAAATATTTTTTTAAATTAATTTTCAATATAGGTCACTTAATAAACTTAAAAATTTTCTGTATATTTATGAAAAATACCTTGAAAAAAAATGATAAAAAAAAACGTCCTTGATGGCGGCTTAAACAATTGTTTTTGTTTTGCTTTTTTTTTAACCGCCTAACGGGGAAAAATAAAAACAGCTTTTTTTTTTCTTCCTTATTTTCTGCTTTTTTTTTCTATTACTTTTAATGCGTTCTGGTGTTTTGAATGATTTTAAGTAAGTCGAAAGTATTTTTTCACTGTCAAAAAGCAGAAATATGTTGGGTTTTTTTTCAAAATCAAACTAATCAGAATTTCCCTTTTCTTTTTGAAATTTGATCCAATTTGAAACTGTCTCTCCTCCAAAATCAGTCTCGTTTTAAAGCACACTTTTATTAATTCATTCATTCTTCAGTTCTCATTTGTCAACTTTTATTATTATAAATATTTTAATTTAAAATTGTTTGTTATTCCTTTCGTTTGAATGAAATTATTGAGAAAAAAGAAAAATTTATTTTCTATTTTCATTTTTTGAACATAATTTTTTTAAAAATTTTCAGTGGCATCAGTGAATGTTTGTTATTATGGTTACAATTTTAATAATTCGGTAATGTCGTGATGTCGATCAAAGGTATGTGAAAGTATAAATTAGAAAATTTATTAAATTTCTATGTATTCTTTTGTTTATTACGTTTATAACATGAATACCTGTATAAATATATATCAAAATGATGAAATACTAAGTCTCATAAGATTATTCTATAGTAATTCATTACGTTATTTAATGCAGGGAAAAGTATGATTATACTTAATTTTTGTTTTGTTAATTTACATTGTTTTACGATAAAAACATGTCAGTGATTTTATGAAACTCTAGTTTGTCATCGTGACTTTTCTTTTTAAAAAAATTTAACGTCTGTGATTAGATATGGTATAAACAATTATTTGCATTATTTGTGTTGTGTCCTTAATGAAACTGCTGTTTAAAAATTTGCTTTTAAGAATATCAGTTGACGTATAATCAAATTAATGATTTATGTGCCATACTTGTTCTTAGCTTCCATATATGGTAATGCTGACTTAATCTTAAATGCGTTCATTGTGAACTATGTGTAATGAAATTAATTAATGCAATTTAAATTTTCCAAAACGTTCGAAAGTCAGTTTCAATTTTAGATATTGCAAGTTAAATTTGAAATTTCATTTTTTTCTGGGTTTGTCTCATTTGAAGTTAATTATTTTCATTTTATAATAGTGTTATCAGTGGAACACAATTTATAAAGCATATCTATCTTTTAAATCATCTATGGAACTCAAATTGAGCAGAATAAAATGTCAATTTTTATTTGATTTTTTATTTTTCATCTTACTACCGACATTTAAAACTGCATAGATATGTTAGTTAATTTTTTATAGACAGTTTAGAATAAAAAAATTTTCTCTAAAGTATGTTGCAAAACTTGTATGAAATTGTGCATCATATATTTATATAATTTCAGCAAACTAAAATGTGCTTTCAATTCAAATAAGATGTATTATAACTATTAATTTTTCAATGCATGCTGGTGTTTTCTAAGGTTGGAATGATTATTTTTTAAATCCTCTGACTTTTACTAAATAAATAAAAATTTTTAAAATTATAGCAGCTTGTTTGTGTATTTTCAGGGTGGCTACCCACCTAGAAGTATCAGGGAATTATTTTTTATTCTGCAAAATTCAGGGAAATTTGGATAAAAATCAGAGAATTTTGAAGAAAAACTGAAATTCTTTTCTTAAGTTAAGTTAACCACACTATTATCTTACCATCCATTATACTCACTTATGTTAAACGGAAATTTATTACTAAACGGTTGAAATATTCCAACTTAACTACATTTTGCTTGCATCAATACATGCTCATTAATAACCCTGTTGAACTTGATAAGAATGCTGTGTGCAACTTTTCTATAGTTGTTATACTGTACTCTTAGAAATTTTTTCATCAACTATTTATTTGCCTGCAGTGAGTGAAAAAGGTATGATTGTTATGTTATTGGTAAGTTATACATTTTTTTAATTATATTTGTTTGTTTGGAATTTGATACTTGTGAGACTAAAATTAAGACAGATTTAAAAGTTATGAATGAAAGATGTGAATATCTCTGGGGCTTAGTTTTAACTATACAAAGTAATTGATGCAAATTTTAACTAGGATATAACTAGACAACAAAGGAAAAAACCTCACTAAATGTATGAAGTATGACTAAATAAATCAGTGGACTTCACATTTAAGTAAATTATTAAGAAAACAAACTTTTCCTAGAAAAATAAATAAAACAGTTTTTTTAAGAGATTGCGGCAAGCTGCCCTTCTAAAAATGCTTAGGGAGAACAATGCTCATCTTATTTTTTAAACATGTTAGGGGCTGTAATGACGCACACTTTTCCCAATGTTTTAGGCTTTCTTTGTCACAAACACAAAGTATCTTATGTTCATATATCCTCTATCTTCTTCATCAAACATCTTCTATATATCAGCTGTAATGCATAAACATGTATGTGCAGTTTATAGACAAAACATAACATTTTAGATCATTCTATTCCTACTATTATTTTACACTCTCCCTATATCTTGTTCGAATTTTCAATCGTTAAATAAAATACTTTTTATTCATCCACTACAAATTCAAATACATTTTTTTGAACTTGTAGTGGGTGACACTAGATGTTAATACAGTTTTTTCAGATATTAATTAATTCATTAAATTTAATTGATTAATTTTAATTTTATATGGGGGAGAAAATTTTTTAATTATTTAATAAAAAGTAACTACAATAAAATTTTCCTTTGTTGACCTAAGTAGGAATTGACTTAAAATTTTTTTATTATGTTTTAAGGGCGCTTGTGAATACACCAAAATGATCAGAAGAAACCAAAAGTTTTAAAACTAGCATAATAATTAATGTAAAATTATTTAGGTCTAGCTTTGTTAAACAATAATGGCCAACATTGGCAATAACAGTTACAAGGCTGGTAAAAGATTTTTCAGAGTCAATCTGGAGCATTATCTTCATAAATTCAAATTTATTCTTTATTTTTCATTGTTCTCAAATGAAAATAGAAATCATCACTCATATTTATGTATAAAAAATCTTCTATATTTTATTTAAAAAATATTAGAACTAAAATTTATACTTGGCATCTCTTTCATTTGCAAATAATTTTTTCTGGTAGAATAATAAATGTAATTAGACATAAAATTAATCTTATACATAAATTTTTTTGAAATGCGTCATTAATGATTTTACTCGAGAAATTTTCAGGATTTTCGAGTTGGACTCACAATTAACCCTGCTCATATTGAATTAACAAGTATAGTTTGTCTAAAGTTAGAACTCCCCTAGCCTTTCCTCTGGATTCGGTCACTCTGGTAACAAGGTGAAACTATTTCAAGTAGGGTTGTCGAGTCATTTCTTAGGACAGGTTTTGGCTCACTTCGACGAGAGAAAGGAAATCTTTGGTCTATTGAGTTGGCCCTAGCGTGAAGAGAAGCTACCCTCCCTGAAATGCATTATTCTTATTTCCATAGAAGCAGACAACCTCAGACTTTGTGTGGTGTGGGTTCATAACGTAGACAAACTATATCTTGGCATTTGTAGTTTAGTTGTTTTATATGTGCCACATATCCTGTTTGAAAACTTCAATTTTGCTCTTTTCATTCACATTATAGCTGATTACAAAACTAAAGAAATAAAGTAACAGGCTATTAAAAACCTAACTACAGCAATTGATTCAAATTTCGGTAGAATTGTAAAGCATTTAAAAAATATTCCAAAAGTAACAATTTTATTTCTATTGCAGAAACTGAAGAACAAAATCGTCTGAGGTTTCAGATTGAATTAGAATTTATCCAGTGCTTAGCAAACCCCAATTATTTAAACTGTAAGTCTCTTTTAATTATTTGAATTTATTATTATTAGTTACATTGGTGTATTAAACTGAATTTAGGCATGAGGCATAGAACTGTAACTCAAGGATTTTACCATCATGTCAAATACAAGGATTTTTCCAAGGATAGAAGGATTTTGCCATTCTATCAAAACCTTACCAATTCTTGTCATTAGAAATATTAATTACTATTAAAATTTCACGATGTTAATGAAATTTTAAATATTTTTATTAAAATTTTCCAAATATGACCCCCTAATGATTCCAGTTTTTGTTATGAATTTTTTTTCCTATGTAAATTTTTTTCATTCCATTGGAAGCGAACGTCATTATAAAAATCAGTTCAAAACTTTTTTTGTTCTAAAATATTCAGATTATTTTTATTCAAAATGCTCTTTTTGAATTAATTAGAAAAATATTTTAACTAAGTTTGATGAATTAATATTCAAAATCATGTGTAAACATAATACATAACATTTCAAGTATGTTTAATGTCAATCATAACTGGAAAATATTTTGATGACTAAAAAAAATCCCTAAAATTCTTATTGTGTAAAATATTTAGTTCATTATGCAACAATTATCATGAAATTGATATTTCGTGAAATCTACTGGATTTTTTCCTATCCATATGTTGGCAGCTATGTTAAAACAGTGAAAACATGTCCCGGCAGGCACAATTCTTTTTATCACTCACTTAGTAATATATTTACGTGCAATTACATAATTTTAAATATTAAAATTCATTCAAAACTGGTACTTTTCAAAATAAATAAATTTCCTTTTCATCAAAAAATAGTTTCATCAAAAAATATATAAAGATTGGGGGAAAGTGATGGTTTTTATTACATCACGTTGCACAAAAGTTCATTTTAAAATAAATTAAACTGTTCTTGAATTAAAGTAAAAAATGTATAATATTTTATTGAGCAACATAAATGCAAATTAAATATTTTAATTAAAGAAGCTGTATGGGGTTTAAAATGATTTAAAATAGCATAAATGCATTATAGCTCAAAATAAGATTCAGTTCAGTATATTTTTAACTTTAGAACATTTATATTTAGTGAATTGATTTTGTGAATGTTAAATCTTAAAATCGATTTTTAAACTTTTTTTTTAAGCTACAAAAAATTAGAAACTATGTTCAAAAACAGTAAGCAGTTTAAAAACCCTCATTCAAATTTCACTTTTTGTAATAATATTGTATTAAGAGTATTAGGATTTTAAAAAACAAAAACGATTGAAAATTAACGTGGATTGATGATGAAATCAGCACAAATAAGGCTGATTAAAATGCCTGATCTTAAAATAGCAAGTGGTTATATCTCCTTATTAAAAATATTAAGATTTTCTAAACCCCGTGGAAAAGCTTAGTTAGAATTGCTGAAAGAACGATAAAAAAAAAAGAAGAAAAAATCTCTTAGATCTGTGATGAAATTAGTGCAAATATAACACACATTGAAATGCAGGATTCAGTATTGTATATTCCTATTAGAAATATCAGGATTTTTAAAACAACATGGAAATACCTATTGCCGATAAAACTATATTTAAAAAAAAAAAAAAAACTTTTATTTGCGATAAAGTTGACAGAAATAAAACATGATCGTAAGTATGAAGTGGACACTAAGTACTTCAAAAGTGATTACTAAAATTTGAAATTCTTGCATCATGATTTTGTCATATTAAAAATATTTGGAATTTTAAAAATTATGGAAATTTGTACTAATAACCACCGAAAAAAAAAAACTACGTTGATTCTGCTTTAGTGCTGACAAAACTTAAAAGCGTAAATTAAAATGTATGTCTTATTTTTATTAGTGACTTTAAATGATGCTGATGGGCTGCAGGTTGTGCACCCCTATCATGTAATATATTATTTCTAGATCATGCCTCCTCAAACCTCTCTCCCCGCATCGTGTTATTATTTATGGAACTGATTTACAAGCTAGAATGTTTAAATATTTTTTTATTCTAAGCTCAAATGAAATCCGTCAACTTCTACCCCTTTGGTGAAAAATAAACTTCTTTTTTCCCCATTTAAAATTTTGTGTTTTACTTATTGAGTAACTTAAAGCTAAGATTTTTATATTTTTTTTATTAAGTTAGATGAAGTAATAAATAAAATATATATTTAGTTTTATCATTTTATTCCCTAATATTTCTAAGAACTAAAATTTCATAATTGTTACTGGAATGAAGAGAAAGTATTTATTTAATTTTTTTTGTTGTTGTTAATTAAATACATATTATTTACTGTTTTTTAATTGAAAAAAAGTTTTACACGGATTAATGCTGTAAATTTTTAGCCTAATAAAGACATAAAAAGAGAAACTCTGTGCAACAAAAGCATGCAAATAAATAATAATAAATTTTGAAAAAATTATTTGCTTAATATCTTTTACTCTTTATTGCATGGTGCATAGCATTTTTAAAAAGTGTTTAGAGGTGCTTATTTTCGTTTTTTAAAAAGCCCTTAAAATTGCTTTTTTTATTATGTGTTTTTAAAAAGTGCTTAATTTTCCCTTTTCGAAATTGAGATTTTTTTTCTTTACCGTGTCAATTTTCACCACGTATTATGCAAAAGCGTGGTTTTCAAATTATTCTATTCAAGGTTTTAGCAATTCACTCAAACATAATGCATATCTTCGGACCGTCGGTCTGCATACTGAGCAGGGTTCGGTGAGATTCTTGCACTCTCCTGTGCAACTCTGCTGCATTTTGCACGATATTCTGAATTTCAGGCTTCATTTCTCCCCCTCTGAAATTGAACTGAAAAATCTCTCTATTTTTTTTATGGTGGCTAATATAATCAAGAAAAGAGTTCTTCGTCAGAAACTAGCTATTTTATTATGATCATGTAAATTCTTTGAAAATTATTTTACATTGTTATTATTTTGTATATAGTACTTAAAAAGTAATTATAAGGTGCTTAATTTTTGTGAAAAGGTTTTTTATCTATGCACCCTGTAATTGATAAAAGTATAGATTAGTACTTGACAGATTAAGCATTCATAAATTTTATCTTTCTTAAATTTTATAATAAATATTTTATTCGTTTAACTAAAATGCAAACAGTTGAAATATATATTTACTTTTTCTTATGCCTAAATTAATTTGTATTGACAAAACTTATCTCTAAAAACTTCTGAAATGTTTCATAAAACTTAATAAAAAAAATCACAAGATATTCTGATTTTACGAAATATTAAATTAATGTATAATATTATTAATTAAAAACATAAAACAATCTTTAAGAACAATATTAGTACTGAATATTTTATATAGAATGGTAAACTGTAAATAAAGTTTTAAAAGATATTACTACCTTTAGTAAATTCTTTTGCTTAATTACCTGAATTGTCTTGTATTTTAAATTTTGAAAAACAACTCATTAATATAAAAGTTGAATTACATAACTCAATATTTCTTTTGACTAAAATGAAATTTTGATGTTTCACAATATGACTGATTTTTAAAAAATAAAATTATTTTTTGTTATTTAATAAAATAGAATCAATGCAGAAAAAAACAGAACAGAATATTTAACAATTTTAAACTAATAAGTTTTATTTGAAGAAAAGAAGATAAATTTGGTTTAAATGAAATAGTTTTACGAATAAATTTTAAAAAAAATTAGATATGAAATTTATAATTTTAGTTTTATCACTGATATTAACAGGGTATCTGTGCACCTGGAAAGTCATGAGAAATTATCGAAAGACATAAATTTCGGTATTGAGCAGAATTTGTCATGAAATGTCCTGATTTTAACTAATTTTTTTAAAAAAATCATAGAAAGTCATAGATTTAGGTTGCTAAAAAATCTAATTTTTAAAATGGAATCCCACCCCCCAAATTTCATGGTGTATCGAATATCTGAATTTGTAACAAAATCCCCACTTACAGTCATATTTTATTAAAATATAGAATGTTTTTATCACGTTCTTTAAAAATTATGGTGTTCTTTTAAAAAATGAAAGAAAGCACATCATTTCTAAAGCAAATTATCTTTTAAACTTGTTATTTCAGAATTTTTGTTATTATTTTTTTTATTTTATCAATTTTAATTCTAGCTGAAGCAAGCCAGTCATTGGCTAATTTATATTTTTTTTTCCCAAAATGAGAACAGAAAAGTCAGGAGTATTTCTTTCCTTTCCGATGAACAATAAAAGTATCTTTTAAAATATATTTCTCCAGAAAGAAAGAAGAAAAAATTATTTGCTTTTTTATTTTTTTTCCAGCTATTTTATAGCTTCAACTCTTTCTTTACTCTGTTTTTTTAATTTAAAATCTATAAATATGAAGATGCAGAGTTGAACAGTTTTAGTTATACCTATCACTTCAATGAATCTTATTATAATGCTTTTTTAAATTTATTTTTGAGTTTTTGTAGGAGAAAGCAGCAACTTCGTTAAGTCATGAAATTGAAAATCCAAAACATAGTAGATACCCTATATTATATTTATAAACTCAATATTAATGAACAAAACCTGTTTAAAAACTTAATTTCGACGAATTTCATACATTTTTATTTTATTCCCTGTGCTCAATTAGAATCTCTTCCATTTAATCCAATTTGTCCCATTGCATTGAGAAAAAAAAAATTTTTTTTTCCTTGTAAAATGCACTAACTTGAATTTAAATGATTTAATATATATATCTACTTTATTTCATTACACATTGCAAACCTTTTTACTCTAATTTTTTAATGCAACAATGTATCCAAATATTTCTTCTGGAACTGATATATATATATAGTTTAAAGTTTATTATTGAAAATTAAAAATAAAATTATATTATTCACGGAATTATAAGCCAGACAAATCTTGATTATATGCTTTGAAAGGAATAAATGTTATAAAAACTCTGATATGTTGTATTTTCCCAAGGCAAAGGTAAATACCCATTTATAAATACCCTACCCACTGGGTATTTACCCGACCCACGTCTATATCTCTGGCATGTTTGGCTAATTTTCAATAAATTCCACTGATTCGTTAATAATTTGCTTCTTCTTCAGTTCAGTGTTAAGGAATTGTTTTTACATTTTTCAAAAATATATGTTGAATTTCATTTTTAGGAAAAATTTTTATTCTGTTTGTGAAAGAAAATTTAAGTTAAACAGGAAAAAATGTAGAAACAAAATTTTTTAATGAGTGCATCAGTAATTAGACTGAATTATATAATAGCTTTTTGATAAGTGTATTTTTAACTATTTTCATAAGTTTTGCCTCACAATATATAAATTGAGGTGTAATTTATACTTATTATTTATCCAATAACCAATGATAATTTTATATAATTAAGTAAGTTATAGCATAATTTTTTTGTTATTTGGCAACTTAGTTATTTTTTGTTGTTTTATTTTTAGTTTTAGCTCAGAGGAATTATTTGAAAGATAAGGCTTTTGTCAGCTATCTAAAATATCTTCAATATTGGAAGAAGCCTGAATATGCTAAATTTATAAAGTGAGTGTTTGCCTTGTGAGTTGGGTATGGCTATCATAAATTGTTAGACAATGTATTTTTGTTATTGTATATACAGGGTGTTCCGTGTAGATCGCCTTTAAAGACCGTAGATATGCATCACAGTATAACACTTAAGCAAATCTACATTATAGTATCAAAATACTGTGGTTATAAATTTCACTCAATTATTCCCATTAATGTGCCTAATGTGGTATCCAATTCATTCTGTATAGAGTAAATGCATGCATTTGCACTCTCAACAAATTCTAGGTTTTTTAAATATCAAAAAAAAAAAAAAAAAAAAAAACTGCTTCAGCCTAATGCAGATTTTATCATAAATTGAAGTCACATTTTAATAATTTTTTTAGCCTTTATACCTAACAATTATTATGTGATTTTTAAAATACCACTACATTTATTATATTAAAACTCGTGAGTTATAATTCATGCTTTTAATTTATCACTTTTTGTCATGTTTTATTTATGCCGATTTCATTGTAAATCTTAAAATTTTTTTAAATGCGGTTATTGCTATGCTTTTCATGCGATTTTGAAAATCCTATAATTTATTACAATATTATTATAACACGTAACTTTTAAATTTGCGCATTTAAATAACCACTTTTGGAGATGGTCTGTTTTTATCGATATGGAAAATCCAAGTTATTTTTATTTGGCAGATTTTATGATAGAATGCATTCCCCGGTGGTTTCAAAAATTTTGACTTCGGCCGCGACACACCAATCATGCATTTAAATAATTACTTAAAGACAAGCTTTATTCACTGATTTCCTTGTAAATTAAAGCAAATTTTTTTCCCTTCAATTATTGCGATGCCTTTTCACTTGAATTTGACAACCCTGTTATCTTAACTATAATGTTATTATGACTATAAAAGTTTTTAACTGTGCATTTAAATAATCACTTTTTTATAAATCTCAATATAAATTATTTTCTTTTATAAATTATTCATTACTTTCTTCCTGCAGTTAGCACCATGCAACAAGATAAATTAGAAAATTGGAGGAAAACTCAAATTTTTTAAACTTGTCATTGTTTGTAATTATGTTTAAAAAGATTTTGTTGCTCAGGAGATATTTGAGAAAGGAAATGTTTCTTATTTAAAATCATAAAACCTCTTTAAGAGTAATAGCAAATAAAGATTAAATCTTATTTTGTGCTATAATGGTTTTGTTTTGATTTTTGTTCTATTCTTTAATTAAAATATTTAATTTGATTTTAATCATTCATTAAAATACGTTTGTATTTCTTTTACACTTTCATCCTGTGAGCATAACAGTTTCTTGCTAGAATTTATATTTCTTTTTCCATATTTATGTATAGATATTTTTTTAATAAATCAATTATTGATTAAAAGGAGGAAAAATTAAAAAAAAATTTGTTTTTTTCATTTTTGAATTAATTTTAACAATTAAAATTATTTAATTTACTGCAAATACATTACTAAGTTTACTGTTAAAAAATGTAGTTCTTGAACACTTACGTTAGCATAAAAGTTATCATGTTTGCCTCTAACATGACTGAACATGCGTGTTGCCCTTTGATAGTCCATCTGCTGTAAGCCTAACCGATGACTTACGCCATATCAAAGCTTTTGGGGGGGGGTTTAAATATACGAATGAATCTCTCTATGAACTTTACAGGAAGTCAAAATTCGAACATTATTATAAACATTATAAACACTATTGTAAATTTATTCAAACAGAGCGTTATTTTTTATGAAACATTCTTTTCTCTGTAAAACTTTTTTCTGTATGACCTCGTCGAAAATGTTCTCATAATTAAAATAAGTTTTAGTGCTAGTACTGTTAAATGCATGTCATGTTTTCATTAAATTTAAATTTAACTATGAACAATGATTTTAAAATTTGGATACAATTCTATGCCCAAAATTTTACAATAGCAAATTTTTTTTTGAATATATGAAGGAAAATACATAGAAATTTACCAGTCATAAATTTTTTTTACTTGTAGTGACAATTTTTTGAAAATACTTTCTTATTTTACCAAATTTTTGTGTTGATTTTTTAATTTTCACAAATATTATCTAAATTTTTACAAAATAGGTACCTCTCAAAAAAAACTAGACAGACCCCTAATTATATTTCTTGTCTAAAACTATCAGTTGCAGTCAATATCTTAGTCACGAGCATGACTTGCTATCATTCTTAATTTAGGCCAGAAATTCCACATCTTTCGTTTTTTTAAAATACTATCCTATTTAATACAAATTCTACGTATTTTATCGTTTAAATAAAACCATTTCAAAGTTAATTGATTTTTAAAAATTATATCAAAGTCCTCATTTAACTTAATTTTTTTTTAAACAATCATTAAGAGAGAGTGAAGAAAGATGTAACATTTCTCACAAACAAAGTAAAATTATTCAAAGAGAGAGAAAAAAGGACTGAACTTACCTCCCTCACAACTTACGGCGTTTTTCTAAATTGTGGAAAGCATCTGTCATTGATGAAATTGCTCCTCTATTAAACAGCAATCGTAAATATTTGTTTGCTGCACTTTTGCGTACCTGCCAGGTCTCCTGTTTTTTTTGACGAAGATTCTTGTATTTTATGACTATCTCTTCTTGTAAAGAAAACATTTGCATTTTATTGGTGATAAATATTTGCTGATGGCAAAAATACTTCCCTTATTCTTCAACAGATGGTGCTATTGCCAGTACTGCAGTATGTTGAGTGCTGATAGTTTAAGTGATTATAAATAATGGTTTAAAAAAATCTTCTTTAGACTAAAATTTATATTGACAGTGATGACTAAGATTTATATTGACTTCCCAAAATCCAATTTTGAATTTCTCTTTTTTTAATTACATGATTATGCATGATGTATTAAAACCTTACTCGTAGCCTAAAAAATTTTGCTATTAAAATCTCTTTTATTTCTCCTGTGTTGGCTGATATGTTTTTGATTTTGATTACACAGATGTTATTGGTGTTTTGCAAAATTTGTACTATTTTTGAAACCACTTTTCTTTCTTCTCATTAAATTCTGTCATGTCTTGAAAATGGGTGCCTATTTTTGAAGGGAATGAAGTTTTTTAATCAATTAATATCTTATTGCTTCAGTTTCTTGTAATTTTTTTATTTAACTGTTCTAGGTATTGATAATAACTAAAATTGATTGAGTCATAATTGATTCAAACATATTTTTGTAAATTTTAATTGGTTTACTTCTCAGTAATGTATTATAATGAAGATTTATAGATAATACTCTTGTATTGTGAGCAACAAATATCAAACAATATTTAAGGTAAGATCAGACCACTTTAGTTTCACAAAAGTTAAAAATTTGCCTAAATTGCGGCATAAAAGAATTAAAATCAACATTTAAATTCAATTAACAAATCATAATTATCTAGAATTCTGTAATATAAACTGAATAGTTAAAATATATGAAATAATAGAGTTTTCTTAAAGTATCAAATAAGCAGTTAGCTGTTCAATAAATTTGTCTATAATTTTTATATTTGTTGTACAATATGAATCAAAATTAACTTATAAATAATAATGGAAGTATTGTGCATAGTTTAAACAGTTATGTATCTTTACTTCGTATAAAATGTCTCCAATGATAGAAAAGAAACATACCCAGGTTTTTAAGAAATTTAGACTTTAATATTTTTTGATGTGTCATGTCAAAAACCCAAACTTTGAACTGGAACATTCTTAAAATCATATTTTCATATTGTTTCTGGTGATGTCATTGTTTGCACTGGTATTGCCTGTTCAATTTTTTTAATTTTTTTATTTAAAAATAAAAAGAGAGAATTATACTAACTATAAAGCTATTTCTACTAATCTCTACTTAGAAGAAACATACTGATTATTTTGAAAATAATTTAACTTCTGTAATTTGTGATTTCACTTTATTAACAAGAAATGTTCATCCCAGGGTTGGGGTTTTAGACGGGGCACTTGAGTTTTACTGTCCTGAACTGTCTCAAAGTGTCCAAAAACTTGAACATTGATAAAAGGTAAAAAGTAAAAGTGTAACCATTGTGCACATAATAATTAAATATTTGATACTTTTTATACAATTAGCTTTAACTTATTAAAGCAAAATAATATAATATAATAGGAAAAGATTTATAACTTTTGAAGCTCCATAATTCATTGAACAACAAATGTGAATATCTAATCCCTTAAATTTGCCTTTAATACTGAAAAATTATTTTTCTGTAAAAGGATAAATAATATAATATTAAAAATAGTAATAAACTTTTTTAATAAAACAAAAACTTGTCTTCATTCTGTTCCTTGTTCAAAAATTAATCTTTTATTTTTCACAATATTTTTTTAAAATTGTGACATAATTTGAATAAAAGGGTTTTGGACAGGACGGTTTAAATCTTGGATTAATAAATACATTCTGTGCTAAACATTGCCAACTCTGTTTATAACTTTTGAAGCTCTACAATTTGTTGAACAACGAAAGTGAATACCTAATCCTTTAAATATGAATAAATATGCTTTTAATGCCGATAAATTATTTTTTTGAATGAGGAAAAATAATGCAATATTAAAAATAATAATAAGCTTATTTAATAAAAAAAAATAGCTTGTCTTCATTCTGTTTCTTGTTTGAAAATTAAACATTAATTTTTCGCAATATATTTTTTTAAAATTGTGACTTAATTTGAATAAAAAAGGTTTTGGACAGGATGGTTTAAACCATGGATTAATCCATTCTGTCCTGAACCTTGTCTACTCTGGTTTATCCGCATAATAATAAAATTTATCTCACTGCACTGTATTTATTGTTAAAATTTTCTTAGGTATCCTATGTGCTTGCATTTTCTGGAATTGCTGCAATATGAACATTTCAGAAGAGAAATAAGCAGTACTCAATGTGCCAAGTTTATTGACGATCAACAGATTTTGCATTGGCAGCATTATACAAGAAAACGTACCAGATTCTTGCAACCCCAACAGCCTGAAGTAACCACAGCTGCAGCAGCAGCCGTTACAACCTCTACGACCGTTGCAGCAACTCCTGCTGTCAGTGTACAACAACCACCTCAGAAATCAACATGAACTTTTAAATGTGTGTTTGTAGTAATTTTAATGTTGTATGTGTTGCATGAAAATTTTACTTAAATAAACTTTTTTTTTCTTCTTTTTCTGGAAGCTAAGAAAAAATGGGGTATAATCATCTTCTAATATTTCTTCTTCTTCTTGTACACCACGTGTTCTCTTTGAAAGATCCTTATCTGACTCTCGGAATTCCCAGATCTGCTTCGGTTCCAGAAATTAAGCAGGCGTACAAGCGATTAGCGAGAGAGTGGCATCCTGATAAAAATAAGACTCCTGATGCTGAATCTAAATTTATAGAAATCAACAAGGCGTACGAGTTGCTGACCGATCCAGAACGTAAAAGACTTTTTGATCGTTCTGGGATTACGGAAGACACGCCCAATTTTAGACAGTACCCCGATTATTCTCAATTCAGACGTTTCGATACCGACCCTTTCGAACATTTGTTCAACCAGGGTGGGTTCAACTTTCAGTATAAATTTAATCAGGGGTCATTTTATCATAGACATACTATTACTGCTAAGGCCTTTGAGAATCACATAATACCCAACAGTAATTTCCAACCTCATTTAATACTTTTCTATGGAGAACTTTGCTTTCCTTGCATTCAAGCGGAGCCTATATGGAGGAAGCTTATTCAAGAGCTCGAACCTCTCGGTGTCAGTTTTGCAGCCATTCACGTTCAGCAGGAGCCGTCACTGTCAAATAAAATTGGTGTCAATTCTCTGCCTTACCTGATTGGTGTCGTTGACGGAAAAGCCATTCACTATAAAGATCATCAGTTGAGTTTCATCAAAGTCGTTGATTTCTGCCGTAGGGTGATTCCTTACAGGGCAGTGACATCTCTTTCGGATGAAACTGTTGATGATTTTCTGCAGGGATGGAACGATAACAGAGTGAGGATCTTGATCTTTAGCAAAGCCGAATCCATTCGGTTGCGTTACCTCATCGTTGCTTTTAGGTTCCGCAATCGTGCTGCTGTAGGACACGTACGTTTAGATGTGCCGGAGAATTCGCGCACATCTAGGAAGTACAATGTACAGTCAAAAATGGAATCTTTATTTATATTCAATGAAGACTCGTCAAAGCCCATAGCTACACTGAGCATGACGGAATTGTCGACACAAACCATGTGCGACGTCATCGAATCTAATAAATTTCTGTTGCTTCCCAGGCTGTCATCACAAACCCTGTTCGACCAGTTGTGCCCGACAGAGGCCAAGCGTGCTCGCAAATATTTGTGTGTTATTTTGATTACCAAAAACACAAATGAACACGATCCGTACCGATCGTTGATGCGCAATTACGTACAGCAAGCGGATGATTTACCGAACAATCGTGTCAAATTCATGTTCCTCTACGAAGAAAAACAGAAAGATTTTGTAAAAGCTTTATCGTCGGGAATGGGAGCTCCCGAAGATCCCCTTCTTCACGTCGTGCTCATATGGAGGAAAGAACACGACAGAGTCAAATATCAGTGGCTCGACCGGAAGTGGGACATCGATGACAGCTTCAACGAAACCAAAGAAGCTTTGAATGCTGCGGTTAAACACTTGATGCAAAGTACTGAAACACTGCCGTACGACGCTAAAGTGTCCGTTCTGGCGGACGAACATGCCCTAAGCTTATTCACTAGAGTTTTAAACCGTGTGATACTCGTTGGAGATGTATTGTGGGACAGCATCACTCGCCAAGAGCTGCTGCCAGCGCTGTCGGTAATGCTGTCCATCGGTTTCATCATACTAGTAGGCTATGTTATGTCGTACTTAGTCCAGCTGGAAGAGCAGAGTATTCAGGAGAAGTATCAGAGAGAGGGCAAACAAGTACCAGGGATGCCCACCAAGAGTAAGCCCGAGTACCACTTGCACATACACGAACTCCGTGGGGAAACTTACAATGGTCTTGTTAGGCTTCTTAAACCGGGCTGCCGAACCATAGTGCTTCTACTCGATAACGAATCCAAGATGAAGCTCCTACCTATCTTCTACAAAACCGTTTATCCCTACCGCAAGAACAAGACGCTGATGTTCGCTTTCCTGGTGGTCGAGAAAAACTTGGAATGGTACCGCCGCCTACTTTTGCAGACGCTCGGCGAACCTAGAGAGTTGAATATCAATCCAAAGAATTGTATTGGTACTGTGCTTTCTTTGAACGGCCATCGCAAATACTTCTGTGTTTACCACGCCAAGCACGCCGAGCAAAACCACAGGGGGAAGGGAAAGAAGGGGGATAATTCCATCAACGGGGATTTCATGGGATTCGAGGACAGTAACAGTAGTGATGAGAACAGCGACATTGAAGCCTGTAAGCTGGATAGGCACGACTTTGACCTGTACGGAAATATTGTTTTTGAAGAACACCTCTTGGACGGACTGTCAAATTGGTTAGATAGATTGTTTGAGGGGTCTACTCAAAGATATTACATTCAGTATTGGCCCGATAATATGAAATAATTCTGCTTAAATTCAATCCTCTTTGTATGTTCTAGTCAAAATGTCTTTAAGTAAATTTGTTCCTTCTTCAGACACCACTAATGATTGATTTTTTTAAAATGTATTTTACTTCCCAATCCTATTTTTTTTTCTCATTGTTATTTAATAACTAAAGAAAATAATGATTAAGCTGAATAAATATAATAACTCAAATAATTTTTAATCATACTATCAGGGGTCTGTCTAGGTTTTTTAAGAGGTAACTATTTTGTGAAAATTTATACATAATTTGTGAAAATTAAAAATTGTATTCAAAAATCAAGACAAAAATATGGTAAGGTAAAAAAATATTTTCAAAAATTGTCACTACAAGTAAAAATCATTTATACCATTCAATATATTTTTTCCCATATATTCAAAAATAATTTTGTTATTGTTAAAATTTGAGCTTAAAATTGTATCCAAATCTAAAAATCCATAAAATTCATTGTCCATAGTTAAATTTCAATTTGAATTTAATAAAAACATGCATTTAACAGAACTAGCTCTAATAGTTACCTTGATTATGAGAACATTTTCAACTAGGTCTTACAGAAAAAAGTTTCACTGAGAAATAATGTTCGAATTTTAACTTCCTGTGAAGTATATAGAGGGATTCATTCGTTTCATTTTAAAAAAACTCACCAAAAAAAAGCTCCCTTAGACATGACATAAGCCATCGGTTAGGCAAACCATATTGCACTATCTGTCCAACAGGTGCTACCTTTTCGTAAAAGTTCCTCTTTTTCATAGATTGCAGCGAGAATGAGATTTGCATGAGAACTAGCTTTTTTAAAAGTATTTTGTGAAACTACTGTTTTTCCTAAAGTTGAATTTGTGAAGGTACTGCTAAATAGTAGTAAATTTATCCCGGACAGACCCCTGACTATGTAATAAGTTTCAATCTTCATTTTTTTGAGCAGTGAAAAATGAATTGTTTAATTAATGGTTTGCAGCTTTTAATTTACTTAATGAAGTTCAAAATAAAAATTTTTTTTTAATGAATTGCATTTTTTTGATAGTTAGAATTAAATCATGCACTTTCAGAACAAAGTATGTTAAATCATACCTGATTTTATTTTATTTTATAACTTAGAAAATACTGCATTATAATATAAAGAGATTTTATGTCTTTAGAAAGGCTTATTTTTTTTTTAATAGGATTTAAATTTTTAAAAAAACATTAAATATTTAGGCCTCTATAGAAAAAACTTTTCTTACCAAATTTTCTATACGCCTAAACTTTAAAGATAGAGTAAAAAATAAAACTATTAAGAAAAGAATATATATTTAGCGTTTAATTATGTTACTTAATTAATATCGCTTATGAATGAACACATATTTTAGTTGTCAAAAATCAAGAATATTGCAATTTAACACTAGAAATGTAAACAGTTAATGCGATAAATCTAGCCATTATGTATAATATCAGTTGGTGATTTTGGAGGAAGTAATGAGGTATGCCTGATTACTTCCTCCACCATTTATCTTTATCCATTAATCCACCATTTATCCATTAGTTTCACCATTTTATCTTTTTGTTTTGCATAACAAGGAATATTTTTTAAAAAAGAAAAAGTGCAAACATACTTATTTTAGCTATTGTGTGCATGGAATAAACAAACAAAAAGAATGAAAGCAAAAGTAATGGAATTAGCCTAAAGTCAGGAGAATTTCATTTCAATCACAGACTTTGAATTGACCAAAAAAAATTAATATAAATATTAGGAAATTATAGGTTAGGAGAAAAAACAGTTTTTTAAATTTAATTGGTTTTTTAAATTACCCTTGTTTGAATTAAAAATGATCAGTTTCAGAATGATGCAGGTTGTTCTATTTCCAAAACTGGTTGTTTTGTAATCGTCATTATTTCTATCTGTAAAAAAGCTTAGGTTCAGCCAGGAGGAAATTAATTAAGTACTTATTTCTTCTGTTTGTTTCATTTTCTTCTTGTTCCATCATCTCTACAATCAAGTCGGACTTTTACAAATAATTTCTATAGAGCATGTATGTCAGATCTTAATGTAGGATATTTAATTTTGACTATGTTGCCTATGAATTTATTTCCCAGACTGTCTCATTGTTACTGTTCTAAGTTCTTCGAACTTAATTGTGTTCAAATTAGAATGTTGAAAAGAAAGCTTTAAGTCCATAAATAAAAATGGCCTTTTCAGAACAGCAAATTTCAATTTTATATTAGAATTTCTGCAATCTTCAGAACAACATTCACATTTTCTTAAAGAATATTTAATGTCTAATAATTATCGAACTAATTGCTAAATTGTAATTTTTTTATCTATTGTACTCTTACATTTTTCTATGTGCCTTCATAATTCCAAGTCACTATTAAAATTTTCCACCTTTTATAAATTAACATACCTGCCAAGTCTCCTGTTTATTAATTAAAACTCCTGTATTTTATGACTATCTTCTGTTTACCCGTATATTCTCAAAATTATCTGTATTTTTTAAAGAAATTTTTATAACAAATATATGCAGATGACAAAAATACTTCTCTTATTCCTCAACAAAGGGTGTTATTGTTAATACTGGAATATGTTGAGTGTTTATAGTTTAAGTAATTATAAATATTTGTTTAAAAGTTTTCTTTTGATTAAGGTTTATATACATATTTTTTATTTCACTAAGTGTAAGTGGTTTTATTATTTCCAATTTTGACTCATGATTATGCATGACGTATCAAAACTTTACTCTTAGCCTAAAAAATGTTGCTAGTAAAATCTCCTTTATTTCATTTTTTCAATGTTGACTGGTAGGAATTAAAAGGATTGCACTTTTTTCTTACATGTGTCTATAAAATAACTATTATCTTGACTTTACTTATATGTGACCCTTTTTTAATGCAAAAAAGGTTTTCCAGTTGTGTATGTTTTGAGGCGCCCACTTCTAGTTTTTATGTAATTTCTTTTACTACATATATCATAATCATACTTTTTTTTTATTGCTAACTTTAAATTTAATCTTATGTCTTTGTATTATTGCTCATTTAAAGATGTATATTTTCCTTGTTTTATTTTTCTATTTCTTCCTATGGAAACCCACCTTAATTTTTTTATCCAACTTCAAATTGATTATTAAGAGATAGAAAAATGTATTTTATCATAGTAATTTTTTTTTTTAGTGTTTGAGTTATTTGAAGTTGCAGAAAATATCTTATGATGCAGAATATATCTTATGATGCAGAATATATCTAAATGATGCAGAATATATCTAAATGCAGAAAATATCTTATGATGCAGGTTTCTCACATCTTCTGAATTTAACTATTCTTATATTATAAGAAGCTCTGTAATGTGGTTAATTAATGATAATTATTACTTTAATTCAATGCAGAATGTCTAGACAAGTATTATGAATTGGCTTGCTGATATATATATATATAGCTGCCAACTCTACTAGATTTTGCTAGTTTCTCCTGCTCTACTGGTTTATATAAAATTCTCCTGGTTTTTGTACATTTTAAAAAATTCCCTAAAACTGAATTGAGTATAAAAGTTTCCTTAAAAAAGTTGCTATTGAAATAGAATTTTTGTGCAGATTATTGCTTGCTTGCTTGAATAATTAAATAAGTGTTACTAATACATAATGAAGTGAACCTCATTTATAGAAATCAGTTCAAGACTTTTTTTTTTTTTGTTATAAGATGTTCAGTTTATTTTTATTCAGAGCTTTTTTTTAAAAAAAATTAACTAAAAAAATCTTTTCACTATGTTCAATGAATTAAATGCCTATTAGTATTTGAAATTATGAGTAAACATAATACATAACATTTTAAGTATGTTTAATGTCAATCATAACTGGAAAATAGTGCCGTTTTTCTATTTTGATGACTATATAATTCCCTATGTGTCAAATATTTAGTACATTATGCGACAATTATCATGAAATTTATATTATTTTGGAAAATCAACTGGATTTTTTCCTGTCAATGTTGGCAGCTATGCACATATAAATATATATATATATGAATGACTAATGATTATACATACTCCTAATTAATATCTTTGATCATAATGTGTATATGTCATTAAGGTAATAGGAAAATCCAGCTCTTTGCAAACTGTAAATGTCACTTTGCGGTGTGCCTGTATGCCTCACAAGTGACAGCAGCAGTTTGCAAAGTGCCAAATTTTTCAATTTACACATGACATGTATGATGAGAGAAAAAAATTTTTTAATTAGGGATTATCTAAAAGGTATTTTTAGTTCTGCTTCTATTTCGGGAGTTTCTATACTTTTTTTCTAATGACTCTCAATCTTTTTAAACAGTCCGAAAGCATTTTGTACCAGTCAAAATAAAAGAGTTTCTATAATTTTCAGTCAGTTTCTATAATTTTCAGAGACTTTTCAGTCATTATAGTGAGCCCACATACCTTTAGTTAAATTAGAAAACTTCATTGCTCAATTAGTCCTAATTTGTTTCAGGTTATTTGAAATAAGCCCAGAGCTATGGAAGGCTTATAATAGTAAATAGTCATATTAAAAATTTATTGCAATAAGCTTATAGAAATTTAGTCTAAGTGATGTTTCTCACATTTTCTAATAAGCCTTAAGACATGTAAGCGGATTGTAAATAGCCTAAATTGGACAGATTAGAAAATACTGAAGACTTTTCCAATTAGCGTGACACATTGCTAAATGGTGGTATATTTTATTCACAAATTTTTCATTTTCAATTTGCCTACAGGATATATATATATATAAAACTCTTAGGATTGTTTATGAATGAATTACAATGTACGTGTAATAAAATTTACATGTAATATGCAATTATTTTGAAACTTACCTTTAATTAGATACACATTAGATTACTTCATTAACTATAATTTTTTATCATTGCCTCCTATTTATTTTTCATCTTATTTATTATTGTGTTTTCATTTTCTCTGTTGTTAAGAATTATACTCATGCACTGCTTATATTAAGAAAATGCAACATTTTAATTAGTATTGCTCGGCGTATATTCATCTGTATAGTGTTCTGAATTATAAAACTATGGAAAAAAATCTTATGAAAGCAGCCTAGCAATGAAATCACATTTGCTATTCATTCAAGCTACAAAATCTATGCATTTAAAAACTGATATGTATACGTTGATCAAACACTATTATCTTATAAATTTGAAATGTTATCCATTTCTGATGATACTATCC